TCTTGCTAATTTTTGTATGTTTATCAATGAACCCTGACATGAAGTTTTCTCAGCCATTTGAGACATAATCAACCATTTGGTTTGTGGAGGTCGGATTTCACCGCGTGAGATCGATATAGCGACAAGATCGCCTTTGCAGCGTCCTGACAGAATCGGAATAAGTTTACAAAGGCGCAGTCTGAATTTGAGCCTAAAAAGACATTAAACTCATTAACAAAATGGGCTTAATGGATTAATGAGACTAATTTTAATATATTGCTTAATGGGCCAGGTCCATTTTATTAGCTGGCCCATTTTACCTAGAAATCTTATATATATCTCATTGTATTCACCTAGAAAAAGGATCGAAGATTCATTAGACAAACTCTTGTATTATGAAATAGCTTTCTAACAGCTTAATAAAAACCTCTCTTGAGATCTCTACGCTTGGTAATTTTCCGCAGAACTTTACAAACCCTGAAGAGTTACGTAGATCGTGATTGTGAGATTCGACCACCACATGGTTGATTTGGGAAAATTACAAAACCATTTGTTAGAAGAATACTAAATCGCATCCATTGATCTTTTCATACCAATATGAGCTCCAAGGAGTAATTCATAAACTTCGCTGCAAATGGTGATTTCAGGTGTATTCGAATCGGCAAACAACTGAAATCTGGAAGAAGAGCAAATTGTAATTCATGCATGAAACCAACAATTAGGGACTACCTAATTCTCTGCAAATTTAAAGATTCCACACAAATAGCCTGTAATCTCCCAGCTTCCTCTGATAATCAAATCTCCAATTTACGAATCCTCCTTTCCCATTATGAAATTTCACTCTCTTTCCTCAATAGAGCTCTTCTATGTGCAACTACTTTCCTCTCCTTCTCCCTCTCAAACCTAGCCATAAAGCTTTAAATTTCATCAATCACTAACAATTGACAACACAAGAAATCTTACAGCACAAATTTCAAATCAATCGTATCAAAACCACCTTGTCATGTAGATACTCTTGGTGGGAGATTG